TTCAAACAAGTGTCTACAGGAAACCCACCAACACCGGACTTTTCCTGCACTATGATAGCCACGTCGATCAGCGCTACAAAACTGGCCTGTTAAAAACAATGCTGAATAGAGCCTATCGACTATCATCAACATGGAAAGCCTTTATTGATGAATGCGAAATCCTTAAGACTACGTTCGCACACCTCCACTACCCAGCAAACCTAATTGATTCTACAATCAAGAGGTTCATCAACAATCCAGCCACCGACAGTAGATCCAGCGAGAAAAAAGAACATTACAGTGAAAACGAAGAAAACATCAGGATCGTCATTCCGTTCAAGGATCAGAAATCTGCCAACAACACAAAGAAATAACTACTTGCAACACCTCGGCAGCAAAATTGGAACACGTTTACAACCCGTGTTTACAAGCCGCAAAATCGGAAGCCTCCTAAAATCCAGGGAACCGAAACCTAAGCTCATCAGCGAGCAATGCGTCGTGTATCATTTTAAATGTGGTCTATGTGATATGGACTATGTTGGTTACACCAACCGACATTTACATCAACGCGTTGCGGAACACGGCTCACTGAATTCATCAATTGGAAAGCACATGCACGAGGATCACGGAATGTCAAAACCGAATTTGAATAACAACTTTTCGGTACTTAAGAAGTGCCGAAATAAATTCGACTGTCTTATATATGAGATGCTCATAATCAAAGAATTGCAACCAACTTTAAACGTGCAATCAGACTCCATCCGCGCTAAGTTATTTACATAACTTAAAGACTCCAAAAAAAAAGCCAATTATTTTCACTAATTTATATTCATTTCTCAACTATAAAATGTTCCCTCTTCCCTTGATAATGATGATAGAATCATCGAAACGTCGGACAGCAATAATTTTTGTATTTCTACTAAAATGCTTTAGCAAAGATTATATTTATATTTTTATATTTAAGATATCTTTTTTTAGTTTTTAGTATTAAGAATAAGCTATCTGTCGTAACACGCTGTTTATCACCATACAGAAATTCGGTTGGTAACGACTAGAGACTCATGCGTGCGTTTTCGAACGGTCAAAACATCTACCCCATTGATTGGATATAGTAAACTTTCACCGATATGGTTAAAAATTAATTCGACCCACCTTAACTTTGTAAGTGAATTTACTTCAGCTTCGTCGCGATTCTTGCAGTTTGCGGCTTGCACTCAGTGGGCTGTTATCAACTGTTTGTTGAATACAGTGAAAAGATACAAACGACTTCGGTATATGGGTATATATAGAGAAAGCCTTGGATACGACATCTTCGTAAGAATATGAATTTTGTGTCATAATGTCGAACGTACAGGAGGGCCTCCTTGCAGTGTGTGCTTTAATAGATAAACAATATCGGGTTTGTAACTCAGTTGTCATCGAAACTGAAAATTCCTGTTGTAATTCCTCGATATCCGATACAAGTTAGATCACGAAAATGTCAGTGTCCTTAGAAAGAGGACGTTGAATGGAAAACACGTTGGGCTGGTAAATATAGCATAAATAGACATCATTCTGCTGTCACAGCTCTCTCCCGCGTTGGTTTCCGATATCAACCAAATTTAATTTGTTTTAATAAGAATAATCAATAATAAAAATAATAAGAATATGAATAATTTTGTGACATAATGTCGAACAAGGCCTCCTCGCAGTGTGTGCTTTAATAGAAAACAACAGTGATCAGGTTTATAGTCAACCGTAGTGGGGGTGGTAAACATAACATAAATACCCTTTTTAATTATGAGAACCTTTTTTATAAGAACGTTGAGGCTGAGATTGACCAAAATGTTAACATAGCCAGGTTGAGAATTAGCTAAGAACATTTTTATTCACTTGTTTCTTGCATCGAGCTCTAAATACAATATTCCAGTATCCTTTCAAAAAATTAACGAAATGTAACATTTCAAATATCTCAGTGAATAAGCAGTTCAAATCACATTTTTTTTATAATAACAACATGAGTTTCTATCACATAAAATGTTAATACCATTTTCATGATCACGTTCGAATCTTTTTTGTGAAATTCTATACCATGTAACCTACGAACATGTTAAGAACGTTTTCAGGCTGAAATCGCCCCAAAAATAAGAACATTCGTCAGCCTCAGCTCGAACATTAGACGTTCTTATAAAAAAAATAATTAAAAAGAGTGTATATTATACACTGTTCATACTGCAGTAACTGCTTTCTCCCGCGTTGGTTTCAATGTCAACCGAATTTAATTTTTTGATGAGAATAATAAATAAGAATAATAAGAATAATAATTTTGTGACATAATGTCAAACTGGGCCTCCTCGCAGTGTTTGCTTAAATAAATAAACAATATTAGGTGTTTAAGTCAGTCGTCATCGAAACTGAACATAGTCCTCTGTATTTCCGCGATACCCGATACAAGTTAAATCACGTACGAAAATGTGTGTTATTATGTATAAAATAACAATTCGTAATTTCATTATTTCTTTATTGTATCGTATTTTATGTTAAATTTTTAGTTGGCACACGACCCCAAAATATGGCTTATTTATCGATTAATCGATTGAGCCGATAGGACGTTGAACGGAAAAACACGTTGGGCTGGTAAATATAACATAAATAGACATTATACTGCTGTCAATTATATTTTATATCAAAAATTGTGCGAAAAATATATCGGTTCCTTGTTTTAAGTTGTTTTACGAACAGTGATGGCATTTTTGATCACATAGAAACCCTCAGAAGTAAGAATCGTGACCATTCTCCTTGAGTTGGACAATAAATTCAGTTTCAGACGGAAGCCGCTGAGGTATTTGCGAGTCTTAAGATCGGTCTTCTTACTTCAATTTATTGTTTTTTATATTAAAGCAGGTAACAGAACAAGTTCCAAATTTTAATTATTTCTTCTTGGCCGGGGATGGTCAATAACACAAACAATCAAATATAAAAAATATTCTTCGCCGCGAATAATGTAGACTTGATATGTTGCCGATTTTATACATGTAGTCCACGAGAATTAACATTTGCACAGAGACGAAATGTAGGAAAAACTGAGAACGTGATCCTCCAAAATAAGATAAAGAATGCCTTGGACACCAAATCCTCGTAAAAAGAATTTTGTGACATAATGTCGAACAGGGCCTCCTCGCAGTGTGTGCTTTAATAGATAAACAATATCGGGTGTGTAACTCAGTTGTCATCGAAAAACATTCATTTTGTATGTCCTGCGTACCCGATACAAGTCAGACCACCAGATGTGTCGTTAGAAAGAGGACGTTGAATGGAAAACACGTTGGGCTGGTAAACACAACATAAATATCCATTATACTGCTGTCAATATTTTCTCCCGCGTGGGTTTTCAATATCAGTTAAATGAAAAAAACATATACTTATTGGCTATACACAATTACTGGTTAACGCAGTAGTTTACATTGTGGGCCATCAGACAAAAATAAAAAGTTAAAGAGTTAAAATAGAATAAAAAGTACTTAAGCCATGTATATTCCAATATATTTTATATATAAAAAAAAGTGCTAAAAAGATATCCTTGTTTTATAAATGTGTTTTTCCAGGAACATATCGCTCCTGGGGACATTAGCACATAAAAACATCAGCTACTTGGCATGAAGTAAGAATCGTGATCGTTCTCTTTGAGTTGACAAGAAATTCAGTTTCAGACGGTCAAGCCGCTGAGGTATTTGCAAGACGATCGGTCTTCTTACTTATTTTTTTTTCATTAAAACAGGTAACAGAACAAGTTCTAAATTTTAATTACATGTATTTCTTTGCAGTGACCGGGGATGGTCAATAACACAAACATAGTATTCTACGCCGCGAATCATGTAGACTTGATATGTTGATTTTATACATGTAGTCCATGATAATTCGCACTTACACAGAGACGAAATGTTAAGAAAAACCGAGAACCGTGATCCTAATAAGATATAAAGACTCTATAAAGAATGCCTTGAATACCATATCTTCGTAAGAAGAATGTTGTGACATGACAGGGGCACCCAACGGATCGTTTCGGTGGAATATCTGTTCGGAAGGCTTATAATCGCCTTGGATATTCGGTTAGGGAAATGTCATCTCGAACTTTCTTAATATGGGAAAATTAATGCCTTTTGTTTTCGGAGAGATAAAAATGTCGTTTTGGGTACAAAAATAGATCAGCTAGGATTTTCGGAAAGGCAAATTCAGCTCATAAATTCGGGTAAAAGATTTCAATCCCTAAAATTTTCTGAAGATTGAAAGTTCAGCTAACGTATCCGAACAGATACATTTTTCTTAGCGTTTAAAAATAAGCTATTGAACTGCACAAAAAGCATAGTTATAACGTAAAAACGACGTTCCGACACCAACAGGAAAATTTTGTCGTTGGGTGCCCCTGACATGATATCGAGCAGGGCCTCCTCGCAGTGTACAACAATCAGTCGGGTGTGTAACTCAGTTTGTCGATCATCTAAAAACATTCCTTGCATGATTTCCTCGATACCCGATACAAGTTAAATCACGTACGAAAATATTGTGTTATTAGGTGTAAAATAACAATTCGCAATTTCATTATTTTTCTTTATCTAATCGTGTCAAAAATAAAGGTTCTTGATTGATAAATTGATAGAGAAAAAGGAAATTGAATGGAAAACACGTTGGGCTGGTAAATATAACATAAATAGTCATTATTTCAATTCAACTAAATATATATAATAAATATATATGAATTAAATTTAAAAATATATGGTTATTTAGCGGGGAGTGTCGGGTTAGGGTTTCTTTCATTTACACTCATCAAATATATATAAAATAGCCTGTATATATCCCTTGTGGATCCTCTCTTGTCTCCTAATAAGTTTGCCTTGTGTCGTACATTGCGTAAGCGATCCTTAGATGGGTTTCAAACGGAGTTATAGGCTCCCCCTACCCTACCACCCAGAAATAAAATTCCCGGGAGGCCCACGTCCTATCACACAAATCACCTCTTCGATTGCTGCGTTTCCAGCGTGGTTGTCCTGATGGTGTAGTGGTTATCACACCTGACTAGTAAACTGGGGGGCGTGGGTTCAAATCCCACTCACGGCAAATTTCTTTCTACATGTATTCAGATATAAATATGGTTATTTGGGGTGTGTAGGCAGTTAGGGGTTATTTCATTTACACTCATAAAAATATAAACCTTACTGGCTATACAGCCCAGTAGTTTAAATTATGGGCCGTTACAAAAAAACAAGTTAGAGTTAAAATAGGCTAAAAAGTATCTATTTCGATATATATTACATTATTATACGACATAGCATTTTAGAGTGCGAATACGCACAAAGACGAGAGCAAATATGAGACCGTATTCAACGGGTCTTAGTCCCCCTGACCGCGCGCTACGGAAAACAATGTTGAAAGCCTATATTTTAGGAAAGATATTATGTCTCGTATAATAAAACAATGTATTCAGCGGAAAGTTGTGTAATACGGCTGGGGCATTTTTACTCGCTGTTATTTAAAACGGCCCCGAAAACTAAGTGAGAAACCCCGAACACTCGGCACTAACTAGTTAACAGTGAAGAAACCTGCTTGTTTAGGAAAAAAGTTACGTACTACTAAAAAGGTATACTAATTTAAAATTCCTAACTGTGCTTAACCTTGCGCTGTTGTTTTCTCGGAAGAAACCTACTAGTTAATATTGAAGAAACTTAAGTTTGTTAAAGGAATTACCTTTTGACACCGTTGAATCAACAGTTAATTGTAGAATATTTCTGGACACTCTAAAGCGTTTCTTGTAATCACTGTGGATGGCGAATTGATCGGTCAAAAAACCTCTGTTTAAATAGCATCCAACAAATTAGCATATGAATTGATTGAACTAGTTAACATTAAGGAAAACATCTGCTCGTTGGGGTTTGCGGTATTGCGGTTTGGACAATTTTTCATGCGGTATAACGGTAATTCTAATCTAAAATTGCGGTATTGCGGTATTCTCAAAACCTGCGGGATTCGGTTTTTTTAGCGTTTTGTTCGGTATTAAAAAATTATCCACCAGTGTTTTACGACCGTTTACGACCCTTTTCGATCCTTTTTCCAGTTCCTTGTCGTTTCGGAAACGCTTCGAAACATCCCCTAACATCCTCCAATCCGTCACGCGATTTTATATTAGTCATATTACATGAAACGTGATTACAATATGATCGTTTTAAACAATCTAAACGGATATTTGCACGAAATTTAACGAACAGAGTAGCGGTTTCGGTATTCTATCGATTTTTGACAAGGTTATTGGACGTATTGCGGTATTACTGAACAACTAAACCTATGACTTAGCCTTAGGCTGTTGTTTCGTCGGAAATAACCTCGTTCACGGCCTAGTTAACATCGAAGAAACTTATGCTTGTTTTGAAACTTATGCTTGTTTTGACACGCGCTGAATCAACAGTTAATTGTAGAATATTTCTGGACACTCTAAAGTGTTTCTTGTAACCACTGTGGATGGCGTATAGATCCTGCAGTGAAACACCGTCTGTCTACATGTCTATATAACATCCAAAATTAGCGTAATAATTGATAGCATGTTTAAGTACATTCATAGTTTTCACCAAGATCATGATCAAAGAACGGGGAAAAAACAACTACAGGAAACGGATAAAAACTAACTTTAAGAAACGGATTTTCGAGCTGAGGCTGAACTAAGACCGAATGTTCTTTTTTTTTTTTGGCGATTTCAGCCTGAAAACGTTCTTAACATGTTCTTAAGTTACACGGTATAGAATTTCACAACAAAAGATTTGAACGTGACATGAAAATGTATTTACATTTTACGTGATGGAAATTCATGTTGTTATTGGTATTGGACGTATTGCGGTAATTGGCAAATTTTTTTTTTTGCGGTATTACGGTGTTCAGAACCTCCCAATGTCCCCCGGAAAAGGTACGTGTTACTGAGCAACTATACCTGTGACTTTAGCCTTAGGCTGTTGTTTCGTCGGAAATAGCCTAGTTCACAGCCTAGTTCACGGCCTAGTTAACATCGAAGAAACTTATGCTTGTCTTGAAACTTATGCTTGTTTTGACACGCGCTGAATCAAACAGTTAATTGTAGAATATTTCTGGACACTCTAAAGTGTTTCTTGTAACCACTGTGGATGGCGAATTGATCCTGCAGTGAAACACCGTCTGTCTATATAACATCCAAAAATTAAGCGTAATAATTGATAGCATGTTTCAGGGGCACCCAACGACAACATTTTCCTGTAGGTGTCAGAACGTCGTTTTTACGTTATAACTGTGCTTTTTGTGCAGTTTAATGGCTTATTTTTAAACGCTAAGAAAAATGTATCTGTTCGGATACGTTAGCTGAACTTTCAAACTTCAGAAAATTTTTAGGGATTGAAATCTTATTACCCGAATTTATGAGGTGAATTTTCCTTTCCGAAAAATCCTAGCTGACCGTTTTTTGTACCCAAAACGACATTTTTATCTCTCCGAAAACAAAAAGGCATTAATTTTCCCATATTACGAAAGTTCGAGATGGACATTTCCCTAACCGAATATCCGAGGCGATTATAGGCCTCCCGAAACAGATATTCCACCGAAAACGATCCGTTGGGTGCCCCTGATGTTTAAACACATTCATAGTTTTCACCAAGATCATGATCAAAGAAACGGGCATAAAAACAACTACAGGAAACGATAAAACTAACTTAGGAAACGGATAAACCGACTTTAGGAAACGGATAAAACCATCCACACTCTTTTTTTTATTTTATAAAGAACGTCTAATTTTCGAGCTGAGGCTGGAATGTTCTTATTTTTTTGGCGATTTCAGCCTGAAAACGTTCTTAACATGTTCTTAAGTTACATGGTATAAAAATTTCACAAAACAGATTTGAACGTGACCATGAAAATGTATTTACGTTTATGTGATGGAAATTCATGTTGTTACTATAAAAAAAATGTGCACTCAAGTATTTTGAGCTGATTTGAACTGCTTATTGAAATGTTACATTTTTTAATTTTTTGGAAAGGATACTGGAATTTTATTTAGAGCTCGATGCAAGAAACAAGTGAATAAAAATGTTCTTAGCTAACTCTCAACCTGGCTATGTTCTTAAATGTTTGGTCAATCTCAGCCTCAACGTTCTTATAAAAAAGGTTATTATAAAAATAAAGGAAACGGATAAAACCACAGGTCACCAAAAGCGCTGTATAAGAGTTTGTATGGAGCTGAAATTCGATCGAAAATGATTTTCACTAGTTTCGAAAAGTTGTAAAATAATGTGAATTAGGCCCCAGTTCAGACGCCGTACTTTTATTACATGAGCCGAATCGAACCAGATGAATTAAATTCATGTGAAGTCGACGGCGTCTGAATCAATTTATTTGAATTGTAACGGCCGATTGAATTCGGATCGGCTCAGCCGGGAGTTAACGGCTGTTCAGACGCCGAACTTTGCATGAGCTGAATCAAAGGCATAAATAATTATTGAATTTATGTATAACAGCAATTTTTCCTATATTGAATTAAGTTCGGCTGAATTAAGCTCGGCATCTGAATCAATTCAGGACGGTCTAAAAGTTAATTTGGGTCGGCCTAGTACGGCCTCTGAACTGGGCCTTAAAGTGTTTTTCCTGTGTTTTTATCGATTCTGGGAGGTTCCTGAATGAAAGCCGTTTTGGGCAAATTTCGCGAAGCGTACTAAGAGAAGAACTAGGTAGAAAACGATTATGAACTTTTCGCCAACCCGTTTTTCGAGGTCCGCTTCGAAATGTTCGCTAAAAATCGATTTCCGAAATAAACGGCTTCCAGGAACATCCCAGAATCGGATGAAAACACAAGAAAGACAGCAGGTAAGGTTTTTAACGCTTTAATTTCACATGATTTACAACTTTTCGAAAGAACAGTTACAATTATTTTCGATCGAATTTCAGCTCCATACAAACTCTTATACAGCGCTTTGGTGACCTGTGGTAAAACCAACTTCAGTTAGAAACGGATGGAATATACTTCAGGAAACGGAAAACAAATAAAAACATTCCAGTTTGTTCTATTTTGGTTTGGTTTGGTTGATCGACTTTTTCAACAAGAACAACGGTTAAACAATATGCAAACAAGTCTCAAAACAGTCCGTCTGTGGACTATCAGAAATATGCTTATAGTTTTCCTTGCGCGGTTTCTTATTTCACATGCCTGTGCTCTACGCAATAAACGCTTATAACTGCAATCTAGCTACGCCTCTTGAGTCAACGGGTACGTGAATATACATTTTTATCACCAATTTAGATTATAGATTTACTAATTTCGTCATTACAAGAAATCAAAGCATAATATGGTCGGAAATTGCACCACTGATCAACTAGCGCATATTGTTCAACGCGCGCCCCTTACAAAAAGACAATTGGAGGCAATTACGTTTAAAACCAAAAATGCCCAAAATGCGCTTTTCTATTGTGCCATTTGAAACTCGCAAAGGTAGAGAAATGAAATATAATTGTAGAAGATTTCTGGATACTCTAAAGCGTTTCTTGTAACCACTGTGGATGGCGAATTGATCGGTCAAACAACCTCTGTTTAAATAACTTCCAACAAATTAGCATATGAATTGATTGAACTAGTTAACATAAAGGAAACATCTGCTCGTTGGGGTTGCGGTATTGCGGTATTGGACAATTTTTCATTCGGTATTTCGGTAATTCTAATCTAAAATTGCGGTTTGCGGTATTCACAAAACCTGCGGGATTCGGTTTTATAGCGTTTTTGTTGGTATTAAAAATTATCCCCCAGTGTTTTTCGACCGTTTACGACCCTTTTCGATCCTTTTCCAGTTCCTTGTCGTCTCGGACACGCTTCGAAACTAGCTCTAAGATCCTCTAATCCGTCACGCGATTTTATACTAGTCATATTACATGAAACGTGATAACAATCTGATCGTTTTAACAATCTAAGCGGATATTTGCACGAAATTTAACGAACAGAGTAGCGGTTTCGGTATTCTATCGATTTTTGACAAGGTATTGGACGTATTGCGGTATTACTGAACAACTAAACCTATTACTTAGCCTTAGGCTGTTGTTTCGTCGGAAATAACCTAGTTCAC